GCGAGGAATGTGCCTGGCACGGATCAAAGAATCGGCCTTGAGGATATCCTTAGGTCATTCGTGATGACAATACACTCTTCATTGCGATTAATTTTTGGATTTTTGGAAATAATCCAAAACGTTTAGAAAGTTTTACACGCGCTGTTCATATGGATTCCTGTGCGAGACTAGTGACTTTTATTTAAAAATATTTTACGTTATATCTATTTATGTGATCTTATAAACTGATCTTCTTAAGTTTACGCGAGGTTGGTACAGATCTTCGTTGTCGTTGTCGTTGTTCTTGATGTTGTTGGTCGATGGCTGACGTTTCGGCGACTTCGCCTTCCTCAGAGCCTGGACGGACTTTGTATTAGAATACTTTTATTATTCGGTGGAAAAGAAAAGTTAAAGTATTATTGAAGTTCAAACCTTCAAATAGACGCCATATTGAACAGAAAGGCCGCTCACCGTGATGTTAAGTGCGGGACTGGCCCATACGTAGTTCACGTGGATTCGCGAGCAAGACACGCCCCGGAATCAAAATATCATTTTGAAATAGGGCGCCAGGTCACGCGTGATAGTGAGGCATTCGTCCTTCCGGTTCATCTTTGGATTTTTGAAATTTATCCAAAACGCCTCAAGAGTTTTGCGCGTTGATGTTTTCGATTCCTGCGCTAGGATCCGCACATTCACTTCAAAATCATCGCCGTTGTGCTTTTGTGCCCTATGCGTACCTAGAGAGGTATTTAAACGGATTTTAGCTTTTCCATCTAGGCGTTTTTTCATGAGGACACAAACCGGTCTACCCGTTTCCCCGATATATTCCTCGCCGCATGAGATCAAGTATATTATACCTAAACTCATGCAATCCCCGTCTCTCCCGTTAGGATAGATCACACAGTTTTTTTAGCTGCACAAACGATCGTAGAGACGGTTTCGATCTAACTGACGGCGTAGGGTACTGGATAGGATGTCAATAATCGTTACATAATTTTCAAGACCACTTTTTCTTAAGCACTTTTTGATGGCGTGACTTACTTCATTTGATATGAAGGGCAGCTTAAAGAGGATCCTACTTTCGTCTGAAATATTATTTTGGAAGACTACCTAACGTTTTCCTCTAACCCGAGTGGCTTCTACTTCGTAGCCATTAAATTTTCTTCATTGCTTTCTAGACACTGTAACTGTTTCCTCTGGGCGTCGGAGTGCATCTTGGTTTTGTAATTGGCGAAGCTTCGGTGGGCCTAGCGAATGTTTTTCCTAGCCTCTGCAGCTTCGACCATTACTGCTGCTCTTCTCTCTTTAAGATCTTCTTTTATCACCTGTTTGCAGTGTTTCGCAAGTTCGGACGTTAGTTCGCGGTTGCCTGCAGCGCGTGCGATTCCACGGTAGCCTATCAGCTCGAGAATTTCTGGAGACAGAGGCCTCTTGGTGACCTTCGAACTCTCAGCTTTCGTAGCGCTAATATAAAGATGTAGAATGAGCCGATCGTATTTCTCGTCGATGTTATCGACATTGGCATCTTCCCAATAACCAGCTGATGAGTTCAGTAAGTCTCAGTTTATGGTGGTTCTGGGACTTCGTTTTTTGAATTTAGTAGCTTTTTCTCTTTTTTTCGAGAAATGGAATCTTGCACAAAGGAGTCAGTGGTTTGATCCTGTGTAGAATTTTGGGATAACGGCGAAATCGGTCAGGCAAAATTTTCGGTTTAATATGATGTGGCCCATTTCGTTATGGTATTTTCCACTGGAACATTTCCACTTCCAGCGCTGAGGGTGGGGCTTCTGGAATTGCGAGCTACCATGGATGGTCTTGGTCGTTATGATAAACTCAGAGAGCCGCTCACCCCGTTCGTTCCATCCAAATCCGTGGGTCTTAGTGTGACGTTCTTCTTAATCCAGTCTTGGTGTTAAAATCTCCAATAATAGCCTCGAATAAAATATGGTCTTTTCTGTAGAACTTTTCTAAGTTCATGTTGAACGCTTCGACTTCTTCTCCGTCATAGTTTGATGTCGGCGCGTAAACGACGAAGATTATTAAAATAAATGGATAAGTAAATGGACAGTAACTCCCACGTCCGACTTTCTTTTAACCTCGGCATTGATTGAATAATTCTTTCTGCTTCTGTTTAGCAAACACCAGGTGTTATTTTTACACTGACCAGTTGAAAGAGAGTGGCCATTTCTGCCCTTACGGAATCTTTTCTAAAATTTTAAAATTCTTTTCTAAAGTTTTTTTAAAGAATTTTTTGCCATAAATAGATCTGAAGAAAACGAAACCGCCGAAAAGGAAACGAAATGGTATGCTAATAAACACTGTTGTATCAACCTCATGCTTGCTCATTAAAGAAAAACAATGAAAAACACAGCGAAATCCGCCGAAACGTCAGCTTATTCCTAAATAAAGAATAATAACACCTCGCGTTTGCTCAACAAAAATACGATGAAAAACAATGAATTATCAATCAAAGTCGAGGTTAATAGAAAGTCAGTCTTGGGAGTTGCTAAATAAACATTTTTTTTTGTCAAAAACCTTCTGCTTACAGTATTGTTGAGTACAATTTAAGACAACCTTAAATATGTGTTCAGCTCCGATTTGGGCTCTCTAGATCGACCCCATTGAAGCGTGATTGCTGATGGCATTGATCGATAGAACTAGCTGAGAGACAGGCTAAATGAAGGACTAGCATGGTGTAGTGTTGAACGTGTTAGCCCCCGGAAAGAGTAATAGCGCGTTTGATCCCAACCGCAGACGCCAGAGGTCCGGAGTTTTGCAAATATCTCAGAAGCATTATGGTTATATGTCACATACCCATTAAAAATTAGTGGGCAGCAAATAAAAATTGACGATGTATTTGTGAAAAGTTTTGCACCTATTTTTGGCTGTTTTATAAAAGTACACAACTGAAGATATGAAAGATGACAAGAAATCGCACATACCTAATATATGGCCACGCACCGTCTGGTCCTGGTGAAGGGCATTCCTCAGCTTGTTCACCACTCAATATTGTACATTTTAAAAGCAATAATTAGTAAAACAAAATCCTTCAAGATTTATAATTGGGAACTCCATAATGTGCACATGTTTGTACTTTACGTTTCTAGCCACAATAAAATGTGATCGTATTGGGTATTCCTCGAAATCGACTATCATCCTTTAACGGAGTTATCCCTGCAGAATAATACAGCAAGGCAATGCTGGCGACCTGTCGTAGCTAACTCGAGACTGCAAGATAAAAGACATTGCTTAATCAGCAACAACCCGACCTCAGAAACCTCCACTGGGTGTTGCTGCGTAATACGTTTGTCGGCAAAACAATTGAGAGGAATTTAGCGAATGACGGAGAACAGCGTGGGTGATGCCCAGTTCCATTGAAAAAGCCTGCACGAAATATTAGATTGGTAAGGAGTTTCATATCTGTTTTTTGGAACCCTTCATCCTTTATCAAGTGGCTATGAAACGTTGAAAAATATGAATTGTAAAATACAACCGCAACGATGCTGAGATACCGGGATGGTGTAGTGGTGAAGTGCGCTGCTTCCCGGTAAGGACAACAGCGCGTGTTCGTTCCCCACTGCATACACCTGCTATCCGGAGTTTTGCAAATATCTCAGCATTTCATACGAGTTATATTTCGCAACATACCCTGCCATTAAGAAGAAAAAGGCAGTAAATAAAAGGGTTAAGATGCTGAGATATTCGTTTTCCGGGCGGGGGGTTCGCATATTACACACGGCACCACTGAGACCCTTGCCTTGCGTTGCTTTCAGCTAACGCTGCCATCAGCAATCAACCGTCAGTGGGGTTGGCCTGGGCAGCAAAAATCGGCGTTGAATCCAGTTGAGCTGAAGCTGTAGTCAAAATGACAATGTTAACCTTTTATTTGCTTAATACTTTAAAATTTAACAATACTGTAGATGTTATCGTTTTGCTGAGCACTCAAACTGAGAGTACACAAATGAGAGAGTATTGATGCATTCGATACCCATGTTCAAATCAAAGGGCGAAGAAACAAAAAGGTGTCGGAGGTGGAGTAGAAATCGAAGGATCTTTACATATAATCATTCACACCTAATAATTAAAAGCTAATTATTACTCTAGTTATCCACTTGGTCTACTCATTCGAACAAAACAGTTGAAGCAACAGATTTTCCACTCGTTCAAAAACCAGTAGCAAACTATTTGTTGTAAAAGAAAGCCTGGCATTACCAAAAAACCCTATCCTCTCAAGTAATCCCTAACAAAATCCAAATTTTTTGGAAAACTTCGTGATCGGAAATTTACGTTGTGGCAACATCTTGGTGTTATCTGACTGAAGCGTAAGTTGCACCTAAAGAATTATGTTTAAGGTAACTATTGTTTCCTAACTATTGTTTAAAATTGATTTGGCAGAGTGAGGAATAAATGCCTCACTTGCTACTTTGTTTCTTCTTGGATTTAAACTGAGATAACCTCTACATATGCATTTTGATTAGTATCGACAATAGCATGAAAATTTCGCTATGTTGAAATTAATCTTGTTTAATAACCTATTTTATGATCGAAATACCCTTATTCCACCCTAGATAAACAGGACCAATCGACATAAATTCACAGCGGTGGCTAACGCAGAGGTAGTGATGCTATTCCATATGAGCAAAATTCAAGCAACTCAGGAGCTGGTTAGCCCCTCACTAGGCCCATCAAGCGTTCCATCTTTCTGAAGACGGAAGACGAACATGCTGAAGCAGCAGCCGAACCCACACGCAAAAACTTGAAGGCCTAGTGGATGATAGATACAATGGGACGAAACGAAGCTATTGAAACTGTGTTTCACTTCGACACATTAGTAACGACGGCTAATTTTCAGTGGAGGGATCATGAGGCAACACATGATTTCTGGCTGCTACCGCGGTGAGGCATATGACGGTCATGTTGACCGATACGCCTCCCTTCCCGAGAATAACCTTCTTCTTTTTACTGTAATATCAACTCAAAAAAATTGTTGCGAGCCTCTTTATTTTCAACTATAATTGTATTTAGCAATTATGACGAACCTCACAGTTAGGGCACAATGTGACCATACCATCCGACTTCGATATGATTCGCTCTAATGCAAATTCGTCGAATTCCTTACCTCGAAGCTGACCGTTTTGGAGTGATCTAAGCTTGTAATATTTTGCAAATGAATTCAAGAAATTCGTTCTTGAAAGTTTGTATGGAATATGCAGCCGTGTAGAAGGTAGTCGACGATGCGTAGTCATTTTTTTTAAAAAATGTACATTGAAAGTACCGTAGTCCCGTATAAGTTAAATTGCAACGGAATACCTACTTGGTACGTTCTCGTATGAGCCGCTCGGTCACTAGTACCAGACCTTTCTTGAATTGACTATTGAGACGCGCGTAGAAAATCCAGTTGAATGAAGCCGAAACGAATGGCAGTAGGTGAGAGTAGTACTGAAACAAATTTAATTCAACTGGTTATGAGGGCTTGGTATACTCACTGATAGCTTGCCCGTCTCTCCAAGAGTAGACGGGAAAGCTTATTTGTTCGAAGTCACTTCTAACCGGTTCCGATATACTCCTCTGTCATTTTATTGAAGGCTTTGGCCGAATTGAATTGTGGAATACGATGTGCACAAACTAGAACACACTCAGGCACGCAACATGCATCAATACTTCCTCACAAACACAGACGGAATATGATAAATCGGCGCAGCAGAAATAAGGAATCCATCCCTTGATCTAGCCGCGTTTCAGGGAAGCAAAGGTCGCCTTTGACCCGTAATTAACCACTTTTGCGCCACCTGGGGACGCGCCACATTATCTCGCGACTGACCGGCATGAGATCCCTTTATGAAAGAGATCCATAGAGTGAAGAGTACCATGACGTAATAGAACACAACAGAATTTCATCAAATCGATAGTACAAGTCTCTAAAAACTTTCAGTCCAAAATACGGAATGAGCCAATTTGGGCAAGATCTTTCTTTCCGTAGAAAAGAAATAAGAAAAGAAACAAAGCCGTATAACAGGAGAAACCATATATCAAAACCATCGCAAATTTGGATTTGTTCGGAATCCTAGGCGAGTTTATGAAATACACCCTTACCGATGGCATCAACAGGGAAGACAACTGGCTTTCCCTACACCTCCAAGGCAGTGCTATAAAAGACAGGAGTTTAAAAACTATTCTGTCTCTAAAACCACTCTAACCGATGTGGCAACATACAGTTGCAAGAGCGATAGAGAATTAGCTTGTACCAAAGCTTGCAAAATTTTGAAGACACGGCATAAAAAAAGTACTAAGAAAAGAAGAGAAGAAGCAATGAGAGAACCAAAATGTTGGGATCATCTGCAGAGCGTGTTTAGTCTTTGTGAATAGCAAAACCAACATAGACGTTCGATCGAAATGAATTATAACATACAGGAAGGCAATAAGGATGATAACCAGCAGGTGCAACAATGAGCCGTTTGACAGTACGTCTTTACTTAACCTATTAGTATACTCATTCAAAAAAAAACAACATAGTCGTATTGCTAGTCAAAAACAAGATCTAAATAGTGTTGACCGTTGTAGCACAGCCTTAATGAACTTAAGAAAGGCCTTCAAAAGCTGACAAAGGAGCTGTTAATTTTTAACATGTGAATAGTATTTAGTGACCTTGCCGCTTAGGAGAACGCCTAATTGTCAGCGTTTACAGACTGTCTATCACAGTTTCTTACCATGAACAATAATTTTTCGATGTCTGATGGAATAGAGGGGTTGTGAACATGACAGGATGGTAGAAAAGGTTTTGCTCTGTCGTTTTATGGACTTGGACGACATGTACTCCACTATTTAATATGTGTTACTATGGCCCGTCACCCAAATGCATTTGTTTATGCTATATCTATTTTAGTGTGGTGTGTGTGGCATAGTAGCCTTCCGTCTCTCCGGGTTCGCAAATTGGCACCAGACTTGTCTGAGAGGCAATGGATTGATACATGGGTAGGCCACCGCGAGTCATTGTAAAGGCCAGATATGCATTCAATCACCTCCAAATGATGCTTAATTAAGTCGAATGCATGACCCATCCCTCAGGGATTGATCAACGTCGAGAGCTTTATCCTTTATCCTTTTTATCCACTTCGGTAAGTTAACTATTATTTTTCGCAAATGATTCGGCTAGTACGAGGTTAGCAAAGATTTTTATCTGGCTAAGATCTCGACACCATTTTTTTTCCAAGTCATCGTCGAGTCTATTGTCCACAGCTAATCGTTTTCGCTAAGTGCTTCTTCATAGCGACATCGAGTCGAAACTTCTGTAGTGGAACGACCCGAATAAAATCGTTTACCAATCTTGTGTTAGCTTAAAAATTTGTGGAAAATATCTGTTAGTCATGTCGAGGCAAGAAAACCCGGTGTTTCGGTTAACTGTTGATCAAATTACAAATAATTAATCAATTATAAACCACTAATTGACGAGAAAGGTTTATCTAATCCGAGCCCACCTACAAGATCAGTATTCGATTGTCTATGGATCGAATATAAGTAGTGTAGGAAAAAAAAGTTTTCTAACCCACTGAAGTGAAAATGGATACTATGCACCCAAATTGTCCGTTATGTGTTAAAGCTCAGTAGAGCCAATAATCCGCTGCTCAACAAACGAAGATCATTGCTAAGCTACGCAATAATAAACACAACCATAGTTTCATTATATTGTCAAAAACGGCCGCTGCTCTCGAAAACGTTATTCGATAGCTCTGAACGCTGGATTCGACAACATATGGGTGGAGATTGGCTTCCATTAGATGCTGAAGAAGCGAATGTGTATTGGGCGGGCAAGAGAACATTCAGCTTCGTGCCTACAAGTGTGGTAGCTGCAAAAACGAACGAAACAATAGGAAACAACACCTGTCTTGACCTACTGGAAGAAATCCCGCTTTTTTAATTTTTGCCGTTTTCCAAATATGAGTCTTGACGGTAAAAGGCGAAAAACTACGTTTAGCGAGCTCAACAAACTCAAGAATTAGGAGGAACTGTAAATTTGAACAAAATACAGCAGGAATAAAAACATAAACTTATAAGGGTTTGGTGATTTTGCTCTAATTTGTAAAGTTTATTGATAATAATTTCAAGTTGTAGGCGGTTGGCGCCTTAGAATGTAAACGGAAATCAGTCAAGGTCGAACTTTAGGCATTAAATTAGGTGGAGATGATATACAAATAGTTTTCTGACAACTGAATCATAAGTTGGTAAGTTTTTCTCGAAAGAATGACACAAGTTGGGTAACGATTCCAATCAGTGCAAGAGTAATTTGAAGCATGTTTACAACTAAACCTCCCAACAATTTCAAAGCGAAAACAGAAGCGACAAACATAAACGATATATTGCAAAATAGCACCACGTCGAGTTGGACGAAATTGCACAATCTGCCTTAGTGGGGAAAATATAACCTTTAATGTAAAGTTGGACTGCATGTCGTGAGCAGAAAAATCACAATTTTTTTAGCAAAAGAAGATATGTTTTTAAAATGATCTGTCTCTCGCAGAACTCTGGACCGCAGGTGTATCCGGTAGGGAAAGAACGCGCTGTTACCCTTTCTGGGGCCTAAGGCGTTCACCACCACACCATGCAGGTTCTTCGTTTGGTCTGTTTATCAGGTAGTTTTTTTTCGAACAGTACCATCAGCGCTGTTCATCGGACCTGTCAACGGGATTGATTTGGCGAGCACACATCGGCATCGAACCCAGTTAAGCAGAGGCCATAGTTGAAATCACAATGTTTACACTTTATTTGCTGCCTACTATAATTTTTCACGGCAGGGTATTATGCGAAATACAAAAACAACGACACTGAGATATTTGCAAAACTCTGGACCGCAGGTGTATGAAAGACAATTAGTTCAGAGACAGGAGAAACGAAGGACCCGCATGATGCGGTGGTGAACGTTTTAGCCTCTGGAAAGGGTAATAACGCGTTCGTTCCCTACCTCTGACACCTGCATTCGGAAGTTTTGAAAATAACTCAGCATCGTTGTGGTTGTATTTCACATAATACTCTTGCGTGAAAAATTGTGGTAGGCAGCAAATAAAAAGTAGACATCGTGATCCGCTTCTTGTAGGCAAAAACCTAGATTCCTGTATTTTTAACTGGAATTAATAAAGATGAAAATGACCTGAGATATTTCGGACCAAATTTAGAAACGTCCATACAGGTTGAAATAAATTAACATTGTCGTAAACCTGTTAAACAACCGAATTTGTTAATCAAGAAGTTCAGCCGAGGATAACTTTCCAACAAAGCCTTACAATGGTCACTCAGATATATTTCCGCGGAGAGAGTTGAAATGAATCGCCTATTACAGGTGAGCTCGGAAAAATGAAGAGCAAATCATGTGATGTATTGCTTACAAAGACGATGTGGAGCCACGTTTCAAGGATCTTCTAGAAATATGTAAAACCTCACGGTCAATGTGATATGGCTAGGGTTTATTGTGTATCCAAACATCATGCATACGATGACGTAGATTTGAGGAAGCCAGAATGGAATTTGGCATGATAGATAGAACAATGTCACGGCCATTGTATAGACTGTTATACGACGTATCGGAATACGTGACTGCAGCATTGTCCTGAAACGAAGGATATCATAGTCCTTCAGATGGTCCCACGAATGGAAAAGAAAATTGTTGGCAGTTAAGAAAGCTCGATTAACAATAATTAAAAAACTAAAAACTATTATGACTGGATATAACCCTACATCACTCCGTTTCTTTAGTAAACGGATGGTCTTGGGCTAGAATTAGGATATTTCATAAACACATCAAGAAACCTTGACTGAACGAAATTGAATTCTGAATATGGAGTCTGCTAGAATTTTTTGGGAAAAAATCGAAATGCCAAGTGAATCATGTTATAATGACTAAGCTTCTCACCGTTGTTGGTGCCGCAATCGCAGTATGATTTTAGTGTAGAAGAATGTTAGAAGTGATCCAGGAAGTACAAAGGCGAATGCGACCAGAAATCCGACAACCATCACTTTCACATCACGACGCATTCCGTCGACGCACATATACTTCACGATGTTGTAGATCTCCTTCAATATGCTCGAATCATTTCCAACGTAAAAAAATCAATAATAACTGAAAAAAATGCGACCTTCATTTTAAATTCCAATAAGAAATTATTTTCACCCAATCCAACATCATAAATGTTGTACGGACCTAAGCACTTACTCCACTCGGCTTTCAACCCCGAAGATAGTCTAACGTCTTATCTCTAGGTTCAGCAGTAGAATGAGAGTTTTCGTATTTTTTTGCTTCAGTTTGTTCGGGTTAAGTCGGCTTTCCCTGAATCATGGGATAGCCTTACTAAGGCGTTCCTACTTTGATTAGAAGGAGCGGTATTTTCTCAGAGTAGTCTGGTACCAATTTCTCGGAGTCGGAAGGTGAAGAAGTTGGCCTTAGTGGAAAATGCTTTGTTCGTAATAAAGGGCATTCACAGCGCTTCATGCCTCATCAAGCCATTTGGAATGAGAATAACTGAATGAAAATAACGCCTCCTTTGGTACCAAAAACATCAAATTGCTCCGACTATTAAATGAAATAGCAAATTTCCAGTTCCGACTATCAAATAACATAGCAAGTTTTGAAATCAGTATTAGATTGGGAAAACTATTTACTAACGGCTTGACGCAACATGTGGTTCCGAACTGTTCAAAATGCTTCAACCAATTGTAAGCACGTAATGATAAAGGTGTTTGGAGTGCTCCGAAACAATAGAAATATTTACACACTTTAAAGTGTAAAAAAGAACAAACCATATCTAACACACTGTTCACTGGATCAAAGAAATGTAGATAAAACGTATCTGCGACATAGACAAAGCATTTGGAACCCACGATTTTAGCTACTTAGATGATTATGAAGCTGTCCAAATGAGAAAATGTACCATCCGGAAACTGAAGGGCCAGATGTTCAAAACTCAATTAGTTAGAACTAAGTAGTATAAACGTGTTCCGATAAAAAGACTGAAAAATTGAATAACTTGCTGGCAAAAAAATACCTTTCTACTGTTTACATATTGGCCCAATCCAGTGAACGATCGTACTGTAGCCGAAAACACCACGGGTAAGATGAGTGCGATGGACAGTAGGGCCAGAAAAGACGTTATAAAGATTGTCTGTCTCATCTGATGGATCTAAACTATTCTAAATTAGTGTTTTGGTGAAATTACTATGGAAAGAGTGTGTTGGAGGATCTAGAGAAAAAGGAAGTATTCATACTGATGTGTTGTTGATGCATGCATGCCTAAAGAAATAACAACATTGAATTGTTACACCGACAGGCTAACAACCGAGATGTACATTCAACCATCTTTACGATGCTTGGTGGAAATGAAGGCGTGGTGCAACCCTCTAGGACTGATCACTCCTTTTCCTTTACCGTTCACCAAGAACATTAAATGAGCACAATGATTATATTTAGTACAAAGCTAAGCTTAAAAGGGTTTTACCAGATTTTGTCACTTAGATGGATATTATTAGGTTGTTACTGTTACTAGGATGAGCACGGTGTTGCTTCGATTTTTTCAGGGCTCACCAACGACTCGACCAGCATTCTATGACGTTCACGATGAAATGAAAATCGTCAAGCAGCAGCCGAAGTCACATATAAAAGTTGGAAGACCTTAATGGATGATGATGGGAGGAAATGAATTGTATGCGAGAAGTGCTCGGATCCGCATGACATATGTGAATGTGCGCAGTATAAATTAATAAAAAAATATTAATTCGCTCACAAACATATTTCATCACTCCGAGCCAACCTCTCATCCATACGAAGCTTGGAACTGGTTGCAAACTTGTCTGGGAGGCTTACACTAATCCTGAAAGGGAGGTGACAAATTGTTGTGAAAAATGGGGAATCCCGTAGTACGGTAATCCCTGGAATTCAGGGTGAATGTGCGCGATCAGCATTCAACGACTTTCGTGAAGAGATACCAAAATTATAAAAGCAACAGCATAAGAGTCATGTGTGGAATAAAGAACACGTTGCTTGTAAACGCAATTTCATATCCTATTCCACTTTAAAGCGCAGATTTCACTTAAAAGACTTTCTCGCTTCTCCTAGTTTTAGTTCCTGTTCATCTCAAGTGATTAAACAAAAATACGAACTCAGATGTTTCATTAAGATCATTAATGTTACACAAGCATAGTTTTGCTTTTAAAACGTTCGCCATAGAAAACAGCCTTTGAGATAATGAGATTTCGAGACAACTAACTGCTATTGGCAAGTGCCATTTGTAGGTAACGACTGGTGGAAATTAAATTATGAATGGTCACAGGCTACTGAAAGATCTTGTAGCACAGGCAGTGACATTTTTCATTGTGGTTCGATGTCTGTGAAGTTTCGAAAGAAGGAAAGTGGTTCTGAAAGCCAAGTCGGTCCTATACTACTATAAGAAAGATTTAAGATAAAAACTGTGGCCAATTCAAGATCTCCATTTCTCTGTCAAACGACGGAAGCATTTCGCTACTGAATAGGTGACAAATTGTTGTGAAAGTTGAGTTGTGTTTTTTAAAGTTCCACGTTTATACCACAGTTAATAATGTTCTGCATGAATCAGCCGAAGTTGCGATAAGATCTTTTTTTACTCGTCTAACGAGTCGGCGTCTTCGCCTTCTTTAGAGCCCCATTGATCCGAGCAGATGGACCTAAAATGGTTGCTGCCCCGAACTGAATGTTTGTTCGCGCAGAGTCGAATGTAAGATATACCGCGCTTCCATTGCTGACGAACAATTGTGGATTGTAGTCCTACCCAAATCGATTTGTTATAAGATGAGCTTTGCATATGAACATTTGATGGTCGATAATCAACGCTTTTTGAACAGCGTGGTAAATAGAATGCTTCAAAAAAGTAGACAATAATTTGGTGCAGAGGGAAAGCATACTCGCTTTAAATATTGCATTAAAAAATTTTCTTCACACGACCCCATACCATAGATTATGCGGGTCCTGGTGGTTCTTGTGTTCGGTTCGTGCTTCTGCATGCCTCATCCACAAAGATCTTCGCATTTGGAACATTTGTGGGGATAAGAACATGGAAGGATTATACAGGAAATACTTGCTCATCATGTTAACTTTTTACTTTCTTCCTGCTACATTTTTTATGTCAGGGTAATATGCGAAATACAACCACAATTGTGTTGAGATATTTGCAAAACTCCGGTTAGCAGATGTCTGCGGTGGGGAGCGAACACGCTATTACCTTTGCCGGGGCTAACACGATCACCACCACACCATGCCAGTCCTTCGTTCGCCTGTCTCTCAGCTAGCCTTTTACCGCTTCATTGCTATTTCTTCATCGTTCAATGATATGATTGGTATGTATGATGCTAACTGCTACGTATCACTAAGGCCTGCCAAGAAAACACCTTCCAACATTTGAAAGAGTACTACAGCTTTCGTTGCCTCTATTTCTATGTTTATACCTGCCTATTCCATATAATTGTGATTCAATATGCTTTCAGAGGTGAAACATTGGCATTTCCGTGTCAAATGATCAGTCAATGAACTCGCTAGCGAAAAAGTTTTTGTACATTCCTAAGGAGAAAATAGTGCTTTTCACGGCCAACGCCCATCACAACAGCTGTATTGGGCAAGCTACCGACCGATTGCAAGAATGTAGCAAAAGAGTTCTGCGTGTGCCAAAACAAATCATCAGGAATGAAAATACCTTCATATAGATCGTACCGGTGTCCTCTAAATTACGTCTTCACTAAAGCGTATGATATCTCCAATGTGCTAAGAACGTCGTTGAATTCTCATAAAGTGGATTCGTCCTGAAGTCCTGGGACAACTGCGCTATTCCCTTCCCCAGATAAGCCTGGTACCAATTTTCGATCTCCGAAAGATGGTGGTTTAGTTGGCAGGGGCAGATCGAAACAAAACTATTAAACGGCATCACTATTGCCAAGCAACCCTCTCTCTTTACAAAAATAAAAAAAATGCCCAACTAAAATTTCATTCTAAGTAGAGCTGGGAAATGATAGCGCAGTGGTTAGTGACGCAATGTCGTTCACATTCATAAAGAAGACGCAAACGTCAAGGGTCAGCAACACGCGAAATTTTCGAAACACTACTGTGGACAATGAATACGTGGAAAAATAAATCGAATGTAAGAAGGAATTCGCAGAGTAGATGTAGCAACGGGTCATGCAAAATAAAAAAGACTAGAGTTACGAAAGCTAACAAATGATAAGGAAGGCAATAGTACAGTTGTAGTGGCGCCGATCATCAAGAGCACGTTGCTGGTTCGATCCCCCTATTCACCAAGCCTCTTTTTCCCCCAGGGTAAGGAAATTGGTACCGGAGTTATCTAGAAAAATCCACTCTTGCAATCCGTGTGGGAACGTGACAGCTTTGCTACCTCAGAACTCTATGGAGAATCGACTCGACATTCATGATGAAAGAAAAATACTCGAGCAGCAGCCGAAGCCACACATAAAAACTTGGAAGACTTTCGTGGATGATGGATACGAGTAAGTGAATCGAATGTGAGAAGTGCTGGGATCCGTAGAGTAAATGTGAAAGATAAGTCGCACGAAGAAACTCATGATATATGTTGCATGTAACGCAGTGATAGTGATCTTGTTCATCATGAACACGGTTGTGGTTCCACTCCGTCCATACTCACGATGCCTCTCATCCCGGCTGTCGGGAAGCTGGTAGCAAATCTGTCTGAGAACAGTCCGCTTCTTCCCATCGAAATGGGAGCGCTCTAGCTCGGTTATTTCAGGGCTCCAAAGAAGATCTACTTGATCAACATCCAATGAAATTTGTAAAGAAGACTAAAACGCTGTAGCAGCAGTCAGCCCACAAGCGAAAAACTTGAAAACCTACGTGGATGATGGATGTGAGAAAACGAGTCGAATGCATGGAAAACCGCGCTTTACGCGGCAGGCGTGAAGACGGGTTGTGTAAGAGGAAAAGTAATAAAAACACGCAATGTTATACCTTTTTATTTTCTGCCTACTATAATTTCGCGGCAGGGTACTAAGCGAAATACAACCACAACGTTGCTGAGGTATTTGTAAAACTCTAGACTGCAGGTGTCTATGGTGGGGAACGAACGCGCTATTGTCCTTTCTGGGGAGTAACGCGTTCACCACCACACCATGCGGGTCCTTCGTTTCGCCTGCTTCTCAGCTATGTAAAGAAGACTAAAATGAAACACGTGAGGAAAAACACGTAATATTCAACGCAAAAGTGCACAATCACCTACTTACCCGTTTGTTCACTGGGTGACAAATGGCCATGTATCTGTCGAACGCCAATGCCGTCAAAATAAACGTTGAACACATCTAAACCCTCAATATTACTAAAAAAAAAAAGATACGGTTTGCCAATAAAGAATAGTGAACAGATAATTTTAAAAAGTCTCATGTATTGGAAAAATGGAAGCCAAGATAACGGTGTAGAACCTTGGAGGATTACAAAGGCTCTTAGCATGAGAATAGAGGTCAGTCCTCACCACAAGAAAAAGGGTAATTAAATATTTTTAATATGATTTTCTCGTAACATGTCAATATTTGACTTAAAATATAACTGGAATTCACCTGTACCACCTATATTCCCGTTTAAAACCGAAAGCTGAGGTACCATCGATAAACCATATTTGTCCTTAACCAGAACTGAAATCTTTGAAACGTGCCGGGTCAAGAGGTACGAAAAGGATTACCGCTTTGTAGTTGCGCCTTTTATCCAGTGTTTTTAGCCAGAAAGCAGCTACGGACAGCACTCCGCGCCCTTTGGTGCTTTAAACATGGCGTAACTTTTGAATGAGATATCAAACACATTCTCAGTTTGAGTAATCTGGTTGGAAGGATTGAGCGCCCCCATAAATAGCAGTTCGACATCCGAAAACATTCTCAGCCATGATCAGACGGTAAAACATTATGGGAGATTTTAGATTTCCTGGTAATTAACCTTGTAGATCTAATATAGCACAAAAAGAATTTAGGCATAAATTACAAAGGCTTTTTGTATCAAACGTCTGTCAAAATCAATATTCTTCTAGATGGCTAAGCCAATACGAGGTCGTAAACTTTTATTCGGCTAACATTCGGCATAGTCGCCTTCTTCAGCGCCGCGTTGATCCGAGGTGATGGTCTAAAGCTGGTCGTTGCGCTGATGTAGGTAGCAAGATAGTGAACATAGACGCGGATTGCGACGTGGATGTTAAGACAGTTAAAACATTTGTCAACATTTTTTTATTTCACTAATTCCCAAAACCAATTTTCTACGAACAACCAAATAATTCGCTTTTTTCTCTTGAACAGCAAACAGATTCCGACAAATTCCGAAATTCCCACGACCGACTTTCTTTTAACCTCGGCATTGATTGATAAATCTATGTTTTACTTCAATAAGCAGGCACGAGGTTGTTATTATAGGATTTATTAGGATACAATAGCTGATGTTTCGGTGGTTTCGCTTTCTTCAGAGCCCGGAAAGGTCAAATTGAGATGCGATCTACCCAGGCAAACACTTTCATAACCATAGCAGATAAAACTTAACAAATAAATTTGTATTCGTATAAGAAACACCTTCATTTAAACAACTACCGTTTATTTCCTGTGAGTATTTAAGTTGGTGGATAGCAGCCGCACAGAGTAATACATGGGCGATAAGTGTGTCTGTGTCAGGTCATTGGATTAGCCTGAGGTATGGCGCCAGGTCACGCGTGATGACAAGACACTCCTCCTTACGGTTCATTTTTGAATTTTTGGCATTGATCCAAAACGCTTCAAGAGTTCTACGCGCTGATGTTTTCGATTCGTGCGTGAGGACAGTGACTGCTACTTCTAGATCTTCTCCGTTGTGTTCCTGCATCCTATGCGCGCCTAGTGGAGTGTTTTGTTTTAATCTAGATTTACCGACTAGGTGTTCTCTTATGCGCACGCAGAGCGGTCTACCCGTTTCGCCAACGTATTCGTCCCCGCACGCTTTACAAGAGATCAAATAGACTGCGCCTGAACTCATGCAATCACCGTCTCTACCGTTAGGGCAAATTATGCAGTTTTTGTTGTGCATAGACGGTCATGTAGGCGGTTGCGAACAAGCTGGCATCCTATAGTGTTCGATGGTATTTCTATCACTCTTACGGAATTCTCTTGACTGATCTTTATTAAGCAATGTTTTATTGCTGCACTTATTTCGTTTGAAATAAAGGGCAAGAGGAACGAAGCCTTGTTCTCGCTAGAATTATAGCTCTGGGTCGTGGGTTTTCCTCTATGCCTATACCGATAAGCTACAGTTTCGTAACCATTTGAAATGGCTATTTGGCGCGCCAGTTTCGAAGATTCTTCCCTCTGATCTCTACCTGTGCACAGCCTGGCAGCAGTTCGAAACCTATTTCTTATAAGCTCTCTTTCAGTGTGTGAAGGATGAGAGGAGAGGTAACGAACCACTATATTCTTACTGCTTGGCTTTCGATACCATTTTGTGTTGTAGCCGTTTTCGAATAGGTTGATTTGAACGTTTAGAAATAGAAGCCAGTTTTCTTAGAATCCTTTGAGTTATTGAACAAACAGTCAGAGTACATAAAATTCACCCGTGAGAAACCGAAAGCGAAGAGCGAAAACAAGGCTTCGTTCCTTTTGCCCTTTATTTCAGACGAAATAAGTGCAGTTATAAAACGTTGCTTAATAACAGCCGGTCTAGAGAATTCCGTAAGAGTGATAGAAATAAAAAAAAAAAGAAAAAAAGAAAAGAAAAAACCATCGAACAGTCTAAGACGCCAGCTAGTTCGCAACCGCCTATAGGACCATCTATGCATAACGAAAAACTGCATAATTTGTCCTAACGGTAGAGACGGTGTTTGCATGAGTTCGGGTCCAGTATATCTGATCTCTTGTAAAGCTTGCAGGGACGAATGCGTTGGGGAAACGGAGAGACCTTTCTGCAATTCTTCGTATTTTTGTTGAGCAAACGCGAGGTGTTATTATTCTTTATTCACAAATGAGCTGACGTTTCGGCGGATT